TATTCTACAATGTGAGTGTATATATCTATATACATACATAAATACATACACACACACACACACACACATATATATATATATATATATATATATATACACACACATATACATACATAAATACATATATACACACACATACATACATAAATACATATATACACACATACACATACATAAATACATATATATATATACACACACATACATACATAAATATATATATACACACACATACATAAATATATATATATATATATAAACACACATATATACATAAATACATATATACACACACACATACATAAATATATATATATAAGCACACAAAAACACACACATACATACATAAAATATATATATATACACACATATACATACATATATATATATATATATATATATATATATATATATATATATATACACACACATATACATACATAAATACATATATATATATATATATACACACACATATGCATACATAAATACATATGTCATAAGTCAACCATTCGACCATTCTTAGAGTATTGCTGGCATATATGGTCTGGCACCTCTGCTATTTACCTGGAGCTCCTTGATAAGATCCAAAGAAGAATCAGCAATATTATTGGTCCCGATCTAGTGGCTCAACTTCAGTCACTTTCCCATCGCCTTAAGGTTGCCACTCTTTGCCTTTTCTATAAATATTTTCATGGTAATTGTTCAAATGAGCTCTTCACTATGATACCTAGACTCTTCAAATTTAAGTGCTCTCCTAGACTGGTGGTGAGATCTCATGAATTTACAGTTGAGCTGGCTAAATGTAGCCATAACTTCTGTGCTAACAGTTTCTTTTCTTGCAATTCTTACTTGTGGAACTCCCTTCTGGCTCCATGCTTTCTAGTCAAGTTTAATCTTAAAAGATTTAAATGCAATGTCAATTGATATCTACTCTCTGCCTAATTAATTTCATCATTTTCTACTCATTAATAATGGTTCTGTTCCTAATTCCTCCACATCCTGTAACCCCTTGATTTTTAGTTGCTGTACTGTCTTGCTTGGGATATTACTAATATAAAAAAAAAAAAATGAACTGCTTGTCTTTTGTTAATTCTTTCTTCGTGCTTTTAACTTAATCCATTCACCAGATCCATTCTTGAGCCTTTGTCAACTGTACAGTCAGAGAGAGAGAGAGAGAGAGAGATAAAAGAACATGCACCTTTTCAAGGCTGGCTGGATAATAGACTTCTTGATATGGTGGGTTAATAGTATGAAAAACATGAAGGAATTTAATTGTCCAAACAAAGTAGAAAGGTCTGCTTGATTAATCTCACTAAGATCCTTCACACTACAAGAAAGTTAGAAATTTCAAAATGAAGGAATTCAATTTATTAAGCAATTAATTGTACGCTCAGCTACACACTGACTGTATTTATGGTAGTTGCAGAATTAGTTGTGGCAGCAGCAAACACAAAATTTAACTTACCTTTTCCATGATATTCATGTTTGGAAGAATATTATGACAATAAAAAATATATTTTGAGTTATTATTTAATATTTTATATTTTATGACTTCAGAAAGCACAAGAATATAAATGAAAAAACAAAACATGTCTTGTTTTATATGAACAAATAATTAAAATTTTATAAAATGATATCTTTTCAATTTTATGATTTTAAGAACCTATAAACTTCTAAAAATATATTCCTATATTGCTGATATATATAAGAAAAAGCTAAAATGCTAACCAACCTCACAACGCATGTTTCAACTGTGAGTTCTCCTCAGGTAAAAGGAAAAATGTACAAGCCAAAGAATATATATATATATATATATATATATATATATAAACTCTAACTAATGGCAGAATGACAAAATGGACAAAACTTAATGTATAACAAAAGAAAAAATGACATAATACCTGTTCCATCCTTTTAACAACATCAAATTCTCAATATATTTTGCCTATGAAATGAATAAACAAATATTACCTTTCCTCAATATCATGTTGCACTATACTTATAATGATCTAAAACTATAAATCTATCAAATCCACCAATAAAAATGATCTCATAAATTTCTATTCTCACCATAACAACAAAACAAAATCTAGAATAATTACTGAATTCTATTTTAAAGTAGTCAGAATTTGTATCCCTCAATATTTTCATTATAAAGAGAAATGGATTAAGAATGCTTTTAAACTCTTCTAATATCCTAATTATTTCATATATAATGCAAAGATGAAAGCTTATCAAATTTATAAAAATAATACAAATAATGTCAATGAAACTTGACACAGTAATACAACCTACCAATTCAATCATGACTAAAATAGAAAAGAATTTATTTAAACTGGGTATAAAATTTATTACAACTATTTGACAAAAAAAATAAGAGATTTAATTCATACAAAAAAAAATAATCTAAAACCTAAAGCAGGAATTTATGCTATAAACTGTCATAAAAGTCACAGGAAATAATTTAGGTGAGACTTCAAGGAATTTAAATAAAAAGATATGTTTATGAAAGAGATCTATTACAAAAAACATACTCCGTGCATTAATTGTTCATCACAATGAATCTGGTCATAATTTTAATTTGAAGAATTCAATTTTTTATTAAAAGAGAAAGCAATTTACTAAGGTAAAAAAATTATAGAAAGTAAACAGATTTCTGAGTCTTCCATGGTAAATTTACATCCACATTTTACCATTTAACAAATCTCTGAGGGATAAAAACATAAGTATGTGGGAGCTGAATGAAATCAGCTAAACTGTAGACACATCAGATGCCAGAAATTTAAAACTTGCATTTAATATTTAGTATCTCTACATCTTCAGTTTTCCTCTACATGTGTAATTATGACCAATGGTTTGCTTTACTAGAAGTATATAATGCAACTGGTTTTGTTTATATTGAAAGTATATAATTCCATCAATAAGAACATTAGTCTGATTTTTTTCTGCCCAAAGTTCTGAACTTTTATTTACTATGTATTTACTTTTTTCTTCAATAGGAGGAGGTAGATTTGTCTATTGTCCAGTTTACCCTCCTCTCCAGTTTTTTGAACAAGAGTAGGTTATCCTTTGTTTCCAGTTTAGTGTTTGGTTTGCAGTTCCTTGTAAAGTCTTTTCCTTCTCTTTTATCTCTGGTGCCCCTTAGCATCTTGGTGGCATTGTCATTTTGCTTGGGGTGGTGCTCTTTACCCTTTAGCCCTCTACTTGAGTGTCTCTTGGGCTTTGTAGAGAGTGAACATCACTGTAAAAAAAAAAAATCAATGAGAACATTATTTTAGTCTGAAGTCCTTTTGAAAAACAAACCATAATACTTTCTCTTTTGTCCTTCCATACAAATGCAGACAGAATGTTCACCTTTGCTTTATAGATTACACAAAAGCATTTGATAAAGTATGCCACAGAAATCTTTGGAGCTGCTCAGCAACCATGACATATTTTGGCAGGATATTAGAATAATCAAGAACATGTACTGGCAGCAAACCACCTGCATATGGATAAAAAATAAGTTCACCAGATACAAAAAAAAAAAAGAAAGAGGTCTAAGACAAAGATGTGTTTTCTCACTGAACTTGTTCAACTTATACAGCAATGCAATTCTGAGAGAATCCTGCCATGCAGATGACACAGTGTTGATAGCAGACATGGAAAGGAAACTGCAAAAGCTTGCACAGAAGGTAGTGAATGAAAGTGAAAAGAAAGGATTAAACATTGACTGCATGAAGATAGATTGCAAGGTTGTCAGCGAAAGAATGATCCTAAAATTCAAATTACAAATTAGTGAGACTACAATCAAACAAATTCATAAATTTAAATATCTGGGAAGTGCTCTAACAGAGGACAGAAAGTGTAATACTGAGATCTGAACACACATTGGGATGGCTAAAGAGGCTTTCCAAAAGCTAAGCAGAGTATTAAGAGAGAGAAAAACTGTTAGAAATAAAGAAAAATGTATTGAATGTTTATCTTTTCCTTTTTTTTGCATCAACAGTCCTATGAAAATAAGGAGTTTTATTGATTGTCATTTAACTTTATTATCTTAGGTAAGGTCTGACTAATTCCTTTTGTTTTGATATCTGTTTCTTGTATTATCAAAAGAAATGTAAGAATTTTATCAAAAATGTTAAATTATTTAAACAAGATGGCAGGTTCTTGAGAAGTGCATGTCTAAATAACTAATATTAATTTCTTAGAGATTCTTGAATATTTATTTTCTGTAAGGTCAAAGTTTTTGAAATTCTTCTTCTATGTGCTGTGTCCTTTCATTTTGGCAGTCAAGGCTCTCCACAATTTCCTGTCCTTTCTAACTCTTAATTATTTTGTCTTTTTGTTATCTCCCCTAAATCCTGACCTGCTATCCTTTGCACAAACTTGCTAAGTAGGTTCTGCATTTTTTTTCCTCGGTCCATGGTATTCTCAGCATCCTTCTGTAGAACCATATTTCTGTTTCTTCAAGTCTCTTCTTCATCTGTGAGGGGATTGTCCTGCATTTACTGTCATATAGATGGACTGATATTGCGTAACAGTTTAGTACTCTTTGTTTCCAATGAAATTTTCCTATTTCTTAATACTTTGCTTAGCTTTTGGAAGGCATCTTTCACTATCCCAGTGCACCTTCAGATTTCAATGTCACACTTTCCATGCTCTGTTAAAACACTTCCCAGATAAAGGTATCCCTCAATGTGCATTCAATTAATGTGTTTTTGATTAGTGTGCTAAAATTTTTATATACCAAAATTTGATTAGTGCATACATAATACTTGATAAGGGCTGGAAAACATTCTTCAGTTTAACCATAGTAATTGAAAATTGATTTTTTTTTATAGTTACTAATGTACAAATTAGCTGCACTAATCAAGGGATTACTGTATTAAAATGGTTGTACTTGTTTGATTTTGGTATCTCCAACTTGTAATTTACATGTTGGGCTGTGCTATATTACTAACAACTATGCAGTCAGTCTTTGTTTGCATTAAACATCATTTGAGCATTCTATCCAGTTTTCTCTTCTCTCTCTCTCCTTCTCTCTCTCTCCTTCTCTCTCTCTCTCCTTCTCTCTCTCTCCTTCTCTCTCTCTCTTTCTTCTGGCTTTAATTTCTTAATTCAAGTTTCATCCTAAAATATTCACTTAGTGACTTATTATGTGTTAAAGAATCTAAGAATAACAACCCCTTAGAATTTTCAATAGCCAGAAATTTAAGCAGACAACCATCTGCTTCCATTTTGAATTATATTTCCATCAAAGACTTGGTACTAACAATGGACATTGTCCTTTTTCTCATTTTCTATCAATGTAGAATTCAAAAAAAGGAAAAAAATGCTTAATTTATATGTAAGTGATTGGGGTCTTAATGTTTTTCAAATGTTTTTCTAGATTTTGGTTCTGCTGTCAGCTGCAATATGTTTTGGCAGTAAATAAAAATCGCTTTTCTTATCAATAAATTTTTACAGACTTGGGTTCAGTAATTGTAACGTCAATAGCCAATTTAAGAGAATTCTTTTTTTTTTAAATTCCTTTTCTTCTTTTTCAAAATCTGTTATTTCTCTCTCTTTCTTTACTTTTAGGATACCTACTTTCTGATTGTTCTTTATGATATTTAAAAGGAATTGATTGCTGCTGCTATTTTTAAGTGACTGATCCTACAACAAAACTTTGAGTTATTTTCAGTTGTTTTCCAAACACTAAGAAAAGTCCAATTGTTCAAGTAAATTTATTTTCTTTGCTTTTCTATTTTATCAACTCTTTCTTTTTATTTAAATGGTTGCAACTCTGTTATTCTTCAAGTTGTCTGTAAAACAGAAAACAAAGAACTTATTGCCTGTTAGTCAGCAGCAAACGAGCTCTCTCTCTCTTGAATTCTATTGAAAATAGCCACGTGAAAATAGGCCAGGTAAATTAGCAAGAACTGTGCAACTGATTGTGCTTTTTATACCCCATGGGTTTTGTATATTTTGCAAGTATCTTTTTTCTTTTTAGATTTTACAAGTGTAAAGGATACTGCTGGGGCAAACTTACATTATGAAGAAATTAAAATTATGATTTGACTTTCTTTTTTTGTGTACTAATTTCTCCTAGGATGTAGGCAATCATAGTTATCCACAACTTCCTGGATTTTGGTGCTGTGATTTTTAACCATTTAATCCTGGTTCTGCTATCTATTCACTCAAACAAGTAAGTTAACTGCTGTTTTCCTTGCCTTCCAAATGGACCCAGGTAAAAAAGCCACAGGACAAAGTGAGCACACAGCAGACAAAATTCCAGCCTCTTATCCTAAAAGTGGATAAAATCCCAGTCTCATAAATAAATTAAAATTTCTGGGTGCTAACTTTAAAAACACTGTTCTTAAGGATTTCTTTACATAAAGTTGGGTCTTAGAGAATACTAGGACTCCTAATCTGTGAAATATATTGAATATGTGACCATAGCATTATTAGAAAACTTTTTTTTTTAGAGGTTGAATCAATTTACTATGGATTTCTGTTGCAACAGAGCAGACCCATAGACAGAAGTACCTAACAGAAATAAATGACTTTATAACTGGCCACTATAAATTAATTGTGATATTTTTCCTAGCTGAAATTGTGACGTATTTCTGTGATTTTATTACCAGCCACTCTCCAAATATTCTGTAACATTATCTGCGTCTTTTTCCTTAATATATGTCCCTAGAGATTTCAACTCACTTTCTGATTGTAAGTATAAATTTCCTTGTTTCTATCAGTTTGGTACCCTGACACAACATCTTGATTTTCTTGATGGCAAGATGATAAAATTTGAAATCTAAATTATAATACTTTAAATGGACAAACATTTACGAGAAGTATATTCTGTTTAAATGCAACCTTTATAAAAATGACTTCAAACAACTGCCTAATTTTCTGTTAGACAAAGGTTCACAGTGAAATATATTTTAATTGAATGTACTCACTCAGTCATTGTAAGACATAAATGCAACAAGGAAACTATTTGAAAATGTTGAAACTGTTAACATAACGTCCTACCTTACAGAAACAAGTCTAATCCCAAACAGATAACATCTACAACTCTACATGCAAGCCACCAATCTAATGCTGGGTGGCATCGTGTTTACCACAGCCGGCCCGCTGTTGGACCACCAGTGTGTTTGTCTCAGCAATGTTACCACTGGCGGGACAATAAAGGCCCACCAGTGGCTGTCCCCAGAGGACCACTGGCGTTGCCATCAGCAGCCCATCAGCGGTTTGCATGTAGGGAATACCCCATCTACAAACTATATAAATATAAAAAATGTTTGTCCTGAAAGTATGAAATTATGTACAAAATATTTAGATTTCAGGATTAAATAACCCATAGTGGTGTTGATATGCCACTAGGAAAAAAAAAACAGAAAAGAAAACCAGTCTTAGCCGGAGATTTTCCCTGAGAGACATGTCCATTTCAATTTTATTCCAGTCAAGTGTATAGGTATATTTGCATGTGTGCATATATATTTTAATTCGGTGACAGACCTAAAAAATGTTTTTACAAAATTAAAAAAAACATCTTGAAAAAATAATTTCGTTCCTTACCAAATAATTTTTGCCAAGTTGAAAGCTGAATGGTAGAAGGATGTGTTATTCCAATATGTTATTTTAAACTCAGTAAAATGTTAATTGTATGTGTGCTTATGAGTTTATTACATGGCATAAACATACGTATGTCACTGATGCACAACACAGACATACGCACATCCATTACATGCATACATGCAAATTCACAAGCAGACAAATTGTAAGAGACAGAATCAACTCTTCTTTTATAGATTTTCTTTAAAACTTCCTTATTGTCCATATGTACAGTCCATGGTATTCTCAGCATCTACTAGTAGAACTATATCATTGTGGCTTTAAGTATTGTTTATTCTTTGTTGCATCCTGAAATTGATAAGTCAATACACATATAAAAAGAGGTAGTAATTTATTCCAAAGAACAGTCTACTGTAATAACAATTAATTGTGACCTTCACCTCAATTCTATTCAACTGCCACTTTTTCATTAAGAGAGCATGCTATTTATCTTCTTAGATTCGTCCATCTTGTGGTGGTTCTCCGCTACTCCACAACATCCCCCTTTTCAGAAATTACTACTTCCTCTGGGAGTCATATTTTTGTCTTTTTAGGTTTATTTGTATAATCCTTGCGAATTTCCTTTTTCATTTACTCAACTATCTCTCATCTAGGGCTAATAAAGGCATTGGTACCTTGAATAAGTCATAAATAACCTTTATCGGCTCTTCCTTTTGGTTATTCATATCATTCAGGTACCTTTTCCTTATCTGGTTGTGATGTCTCTTAACTGTCTTTTTCAAATCTTTAATCATTTACATCAATATCCCAATGTGTTTATCTATGACACCAACATTCCAGAACTCTTTACCATACTCTTTGAAAAAAATCTTTTCTCCTGATGTATAGGATTTTGTAATTGTGTTTTTTCTTACTTTTTTATTTTCCATTAGTAACAGCTTGGCAAATATTGTTTTTATTTTCCTCGTGAGCATTAAATCTGCTGGTGACAACCCCAAATTTGTACTTGGGTTCAGTGTCACCCAATATACTCTTAAGAATTGGAGTATCTCGTCAATGGATTTGTTTCCACCTGCCTTTTACAATGCTCACTTGAAAGTATACACACACACACATGTGTATATGAATATATGGACTTGTATACAGGTGTTATGTGTGTGCATATATATATATATATATATATATATATATATATATATACACACACACAGACATGATGCGATGGATAAACTGTTGTCTGAATTATGCAAAAATGAAAATAACACTGACATCTCATTTTAACAGATATATTTACCGAAATTACACAAAAAATATCTTGAAATACTGAAGAGTAAATTTATTCAATAAATTCCCCATTAGCTTCAACTACGGCCTCCAGATAACTTCGGAATCTCCTGCAACTCTTCTGAACAGTCTCCTTGTTTGTGAATGCTGCCATAATCCTTGCCTTCAGTTCATTTTTGGTATTACAAGGAATTTTTGTTGGTCTCTTGCATAACTGTGCTCTACATATAATAATCAAGGAGGTTGAAGTCTATGGAGATAGGTGGCCAGATGTAAGGGGTAATGTGGTCGCAGAAATTGTCAGACAGCCTATGACAGAGTTCTTCTCCTTGTGTGACATGGTGCAGAGTCCTGTTGACCTTTTGCTAACCTCTTGACTTGGGGCAGCACTATTTCTTTAGGGCACTTGATGTAGGCCTCCATGTTGAGTCTGAGGTTCTGTGGGAAGATGAATTGAAGCATAACGTAACCATCACTAGTGATCACTCCAAACACCTTCATAATCATCGTTAGACTCATCCAACTCTTTCTGAATCCTCTGCACTGTCCTCAGATTGACACTCAAACACTCTGAAATGTTCATATTGAATCTTTCAGTGTGAATGCCATGCAGTACAGTATGCGGTTTCCAAATTTCTGGCAGATTGAAATGCATCATGGTGCTCTTTTTCTCACAGACAATGCCCAACTAAACCTACTATATGGTGCAGATGGCAAAAACGAAAACAATGTGCATGCATGAAAGTAAAAATATAAACTAGAAACTTACCCATTACAACTTATATATATATATATATATATATATAAATAAATCTTTTATGAAACAAGCACACTGAGTCACTGCTGTGTTTATTCAAAAATAAATACATAAAAATTCACTTTCCTCTCTGCTGGGAGCTGATAGCATAGAGGAAAATTCTCCGACTGATGCTAAATCAGTTGGATTTTGATCCTGGCTTGAGGCAATCCGATGTCTAGCCACACTGATGAGCTGTGATACAGAAAAACAGTCTGAGTGTGGTTGACAATATATACACCCCCCAAAAAATAAAATTAGTTTGAGCACTTTAGAGGGTAAGTGTGAATTTGTAAACAGTGACTGCTACTGCTGATAATGCAAAGCTCTTCTATGAAGTGAGCACTCTGAGTCACTGGCATGTTTATTCAAAAATAAATACATAAAAATTCACCTTCCTCTCTGCCAGGAGCTGATAGCTTTGGGGGAAAATCAGTCAGGTTTTGATCCTGGCTTGAGCTGTGATACCATGAAATAGTCTG